GGGGGGACTAAGACATTCATTCAACAAAAGCAAAGAGGTCGTGGTTTCGAACAAAAAAAATGCAAAAAAAGGATAAAAAAAAACATCTCCCCTATGAGTCTATTCTTCTCCTCTATGAGAGTATACCCCTTTCCTTTGTGAGTGTTAGGGTTTCATTCTTTGTCTGCGTCCTCTTCTTCATCAGCGTACTTAAATCATGGTTACGGTGAGATGATTTCAGTTTGGGTTTCAAATTCTTCGCTATTCCAGTTAGGGTTTCAATTTCTCGGAAATTTCAGTCTCTAATCTTACCGTATACTTGCTTCCTTTTGCACACCCATAACAAATCAAGGGCATTGTGCCTAGATTCGTGTTCTCCATCGAAAACCCTGCACCTACTCAGAGAGTCCGATCTACAGGTACTTGTTCAGGAACTCCTTTTTCCCACTTTGCACGATAGTTAGCATAAATCTACGCCAAACCCCCCCACCCCCCAGATCTACACCAAAAAACCACCGCACCCATGAGACTATCATTGTCACTTGATACCAAAAAAATTTAATCTACTTTTTTTTTTTGCCACTATCACTGTCACTTGATACCAAAAAAATTTCATTTACTTTGTTTCTGCCTTTTAATTTGAAATTGGTCTTTTGGGTATGCTTTTATTGTTTCAATTTTGATTTTTTATTTGCAGGTTTTCCATTACTGAGCCCCTAGCAGCCACCTGATCAACCTCCCAGCAACATATGATATGGGTAAACTTTTATTTTATTTTATATTCAAAATCATCTATCTCTTTCTTTTTTTGCTCTCTCTTCCACTTCCCATTCCAGACCTTTTCAATTCCCCACGACCAACTCTTTGTTCTTTCCTATATTTCTCTCTTGTTTCGTTATATGGTTTTTATATTTTGCACCTTTAATGTATTCAGTATGTGTTTTTTTTCCTCTAGTCAGTATATTCTGAAGGTGATTGGGAGAAATGGACACTTAACATTTTATGTAGTCAGTATATGTTGTGTTTATCTAAAATCACTTTAGAAGGTATTTACCAAAGTTCTCACTCTAGAATTGAGTATAAGAATATGAAGTATGTATTGAACACACTAAAAAAGCAAAGAGGTCGTGGTTTCGAACAAAAAAAATGCAAAAAAAGGATAAAAAAAAACATCTCCCCTACGAGTCTATTCCTCTCCTCTATGAGAGTCTACCCTTTCCTTTGTGAGTGTTAGGGTTTCATTCTTTGTCTGCGTCCTCTTCTTCATCAGCGTACTTAAATCATGGTTAAGGTGAGATGATTTCAGTTTGGGTTTCAAATTCTTCGCTATTCCAGTTAGGGTTTCAATTTCTCGGAAATTTCAGTCTCTAATCTTACCGTATACTTGCTTCCTTTTGCACACCCATAACAAATCAAGGGCATTGTGCCTAGATTCGTGTTCTCCATCGAAAACCCTGCACCTACTCAGAG